GCGGGGAGCCTGCTTCTCCCTCTGCCTCTGCCTGCCATTCTGTCTGCCTGTGCTCGCTCTCTCTCCCTCTCTCTCTGACAAATAAATAAAATAAAATCTTTAAAAAAAAAATAAATAAATAAATAAATACATACATAAAATCCTTAAAAAATAAAAAAAAAATAAAAATTAAAAAGAAAAAACCCTGTCCTTCCTGAGGCACCCGGCTGGCTCTCTCTCTGCCTGCCTCTCCCCAGCCTTGTGACCTCTGTGTGTCAAATAAATAAATACATAAAAGCCGGAGGCACCCGGGTGGCTCAGTCATTAAGTGGCTGCCTTCGGCTCGGGTCATGATCCCAGCGTCCTGGGATTGAGTCCCGCATCGGGCTCCTTGCTCTGCGGGGAGCCTGCTTCTCCCTCTGCCTCTGCCTGCCATTCTGTCTGCCTGTGCTCGCTCTCTCTCCCTCTCTCTCTGACAAATAAAATCTTTAAAAAAAAAAAAAAAAAAAAAGAAATCAGAAAGCCTACCTGCTCACACTTAGCTACAGCAGGCTTGCCTGCTTTTTTTCCTCTAAGCGGAAAAAAACTGTTTGCCTCTGTTCTCATTTTTCATAAGCGATTCTTTGGACCTCTCGACATCCATGGCTTTTTTTTCACCAGGCAGACAGACCAACAGGTTTTCATCAAGTACCTTGACCGAGCCAGGCCTACAGTACCTGGTCCTCTATGAAAAGGGCAAGAAGGGAAAGCAAGGCCAGGAGGCAGAGCATTTGAGAAAGTTGGCTCTGAGAGTGCCTTTGGCTTGAAAGATCACAATAGCAGTGACCCAACAACAGCGGCGACAGTAAAGAAGACCCTGTAAGAATCACGGTTCTTGCAACATACCTCCAAGTTTACTCATGGTACAAAAGTATTTAATAAGCATCACACATCAGTACAGAAAACCACATAGTCTATATAGCTCATACTTGAAAACCAGAATGGGTGACTGAGATCAGTATAGAGTCTTACTTACAAAAAACACAGAAGGTACACACTGGGAATTGAAATACTACGTTCTTTCTAGAGATGTGACACCTGTGTTTCCTGGTCAGTACTTTCTATGAAACATTGTGCTAAATCGAAGCATACATGTGACCAGTGAAGTTGTCTGCTCTCTCCTACTTGCGTTGAGCTCACTCAGTGGAACACCATCTTGGTAGGGAGATTTTGACAGGAGGAAGGAACTAGAGACCCTACCCCAACAGAGAACCTAATAAACTTATTTATATAGAAAGGGTTTTAGCAAACCTGTACAAACACTTAACATGCTATTAGAAGGGGAGACCTTTGAGCCTACTTCCACAGCATTAAGCACATGCTCGTTGGTGCCCAGTAGACCAGGAAGGCCAACACAGAAAGCATTTTTGCTTTCATAGCACTAACAGCTAAAAAGCACACAGCATATAATACTTTGATCTTTAAGTGGGTAATCTGGAAGCTCCAAGATTATATCCACTAGGTTAGCCTGAGTATTTTTCTATAAAAATATTTTTCTAAAAATGCTTAAGAGAATTCTAGAAACAGACCACATCAGGACCACAGAAGACAGTGATGCAAGGACTGCCAAGTTTAAGACAAGGAAATGATTTCCACATGTAGCTTCAGGTAAGGGACACCTCTCAGTTGATTCCTACAGCCCAAACTAGCTGGAATGGGAAGAGCTGCAGAGAGCTCAGCTGGACAGGCAGCTGGCTTGACTAAGAGCCTAGAGATATGTTCTCCCACAGGCAAAAAGCCCACTGAGGCTGCAGGTCTGAGAGTGATGAATACAGAGGGCTGTGAGCAACACAAAAAGCCTGGAGGACATGCAGAGCCTGTTGAGCCAAAGAGGCCTGGAGGTGACCTATCAACACATATGCCGGGGAAGTGGCCCCAGGGCAATGCCAAGCTCCGGAGCCGGAGCCTCATGCAGAGGCCTGAGAGGGGTCTGCCTGGGGAGGAGTGCTAGGATTACTGAACACGAGAAGGTGCTTCAGGGTCTCAGGAGGGTCAGACCATTGTCTTGACCCATCAATACTTAACATTAATGAGGAGTTGCAGAGCAGTCAGTCTTTCTAACATGTATTCTGTCACATTAGCCAGAGCCTCTTCCATCTACTGGGCTGGCAACATCCAGAAAGATCCCATTGCTTGGTGGTGGGACCTAGGGTCGCAGGTCATTCTGGGAAGCTGGCACAGAAGAGGATTTGCACAATGAAGTCACCACTAAACCACTGCTTAAGTCCAGTCCCCGGCCTTCTTTTTCCTGCGTGAGAAAACAATCTTAAGAAGCAAGGAATGGGGGTGGGAGAGTCCTTTCTAGCCCAGTACCCTGCCTCAGGCATGGGGAAGGAGGTGCTCGCCGGGAGGGTAAGCCCCAGCAGGGAGCAGACTAGAGAGGGAAGGAGGTTATTTGGCATTCTTGTTCAGCACTGGCCCCATCACTCTAAAAAATGTTCCTCCCTTAGCTGAAATATTTTTTTCCTATTAAAATCCTACCTTATAAGAAAGGCAAGGCAATTAGACCTCTTCGGTTTTGTTCTTTTAATTAGTGAGGGTCTATAAGAGGTACTGGGACCTGCTGCGACAACACATGAGCATGCAGTTCCTCAGTAAGGGTGTGGGATCCCTGTCGGAGGACAGCAGCTCCCGCTCCTAGTACCTTACTAGCTGCCAAACTGACACTGGCCAGTTGTGGGGAGAAACCTGGCAGCTGGTCTGT